TTGTTATTCAATTCTAAATTTTGCAATTTACTTTTTAATTTCAAGTTTAAATTTTTACACTACAATTTTGCGCTGCTCAATTTTTCAGTACGAAAAATATTAACTATATACCCAGGGTGTCTAGCAACCTTGAATTCATTGAAAACCTGGAAAAGTTCGAATGTTTATTTGATGGAATATTTAACCCTCCGTCCAACATCTGGGCCCAGCCAGATCTTTTTCGTCTTTAATCGTTAATTAATTTCTAGTTTAGTTAGCGACTTGTGCTTCTAGGTAGCTTTATAAAATCTCATTGGCTAACTATTTATAAAAAATATGACGAAAAAGTTCTTAAATATGATTTTATAAGGATAATATACCACATATCAGCGAACCTATACTTAATGTCTGGCTGAACTTTTAAACATTTTCTGTAAAAAAATGCATTTTGATCAGTTTTCTAGCTTTATACTTTTTACATAAAAAAGTATAGGGGTTCAGCTGGGCACCATGTGTCGGTCTGAAGATTATCGAATCATGTGTCAGACGGAGGGTTGAATGTATGTATAAATATCCATTTCATCGAATTTCCAAAATGTAGAATGTATATTTGACTTAATTTACAAAAGTTTTCCCCCCGTATAGCAAAAACTCTGATGTTTAAAAATGATCAATATTTTAGATAGATATGAATTTATCGCGGAGAATGTAAAATTTGATTTTAGATATGTTTAATAATTACAATATAATCATAAAAACTTAATGTATAAGTTTATTATTATGTATTACAATTATAATTTATTATCAATTTTTAATTTTTATCATTGTATTTATCACAACTATTTAAAATCATATTTATAATTCTCCGATACGAAATTATATCTGTCCAAAATACTTATAGTTTTAAACATCAGAAAACGCGTTCAAGTTTTTATTATATCGTGAAAAAAGGTGTATATTAGCACGTCTTTAGAATACATCGAAACTCAAAATATGTTTATATTTTGATTTTTTAATTTTACTAGAAATAAATATAAAAAATTTAATATGACTGATTTTTATTAAACCTATGACCGCTGTTCCTAGTTTACTTGATATAATAATACTTAAAATGAATTTTCTGTTGTTAAATTAAGTTATGTATATTGAATTAGTCACATTGTTTATCAAAGATCAATTAACAATCAGAAAAATATTCCAATTTTGCCATAAAGTTTTACCTACTGAATATGTCAAATTTTATAAGTAACATGAAACAAAATAATTTGAAAATATTTAGTAATATTCGTAAATATTAAATATTTAACATTTAATTTAAATATTAACACACTCATGCAAAAAAATTTTTTTTGCTTTTTTGGCAAATTGTTTAATTATATTAATTTTGAAATGATAAAGCCTATTATGGTTATGTGGTTATAAATATTTTTTTTTTAAATTCTCAACTAGTTTCGAACAATAAGTTGTTCTTTTTCAAGGGATATTTTATAATGATATCTATTATATTAATGTATCTTTTTTTTATTATAAAATTATTAATATTATAAATATAAATTTTATATCGACGAATAATCAAGAAATAAATTAAAATAAATATTTAAAACCGAATAAACACGGTAGGCCTTATAATTTCAAAATTAAAAGAATAAGAATGTTATAAAATTTTAATTGGAATATGAAAATAATTTATTTTCATTTATACTACATATTAATGTTGCAATAAAAATGAAACTTAACACAAACTTACCAAGTACAATAAATACATGCATACAAAGAAATTATTTTTGTGGCCTGGGGTACAGACAATGTTTATTATTATAAGTTTTTGGAGTCGCTAAAACCGAATCCGCTGTCGATTTTATCTTATCAAGTCATGATTTTGACATAATTAAAAAACCGTCACAAGAATACAAAAAATTAAAATAATTGAGTGTCCCGATCAAATAACTCGACCGACGCTCGGACGAACGCTCTATTACCAGTCAAGTACACGGAAAAAAATAGTTTGCGAAACTTTCGTAAACTAGTTTTTCACTTTTGGACGGTCCCCAAGTTTGGAAATCTTTCATTAACTTTTTCCAAGATTTCACGAACGTTCATCACTCTCTTCATAACAATCAATGTCTGCGCACGCGCACAAAAAAAAGTTCGTGAAATCTTGGAAAATGTTAATGAAAGATTTCCAAACTTTGGGCCCGTCCAAAAGTAAACAACTAGTTTACGAAAGTTTCACGAACAATTTTTTTCCGTGTAGCAGTGACAGCTTGTGGGCGGCTCACTGCTACCCGACTACCATTAGAGCGTGCGTCCGAGCGTCGGTCGAGTTATTTGATCGGGACACTCAATTCCACCCTGAAATTCAGACCATATTTATAAACATTGGATTCTGTTTCATCGACCTCAAAAACGTATAATAAACATAGTCTGAATCCCAGAATTAGATTATTCTTCATTTCTTGTTTTTCTATAAAGATTTTTTGAGGTTATGTCAATATCCTAACGTGGTGGGTTAAAATAGATAGTGGATTCGATTTCAGTGACCCCAAAAACGTACAAATCTTGGTATTCTTCTAAAATACATTTATGAATTTAACGTATTCAGTAGTAAAACCTCAATCTTAAATTTAGTTAACTTTTCAGATTTTTTTTATACCTATTCACATTTGATAGTAAAGGTATCTCATATGGAGTGACGAGTTATCGTCAGTACGCGTTTAGTAAGAAACATTTAGTAATGCTGAATAAATATTATTGATGAAGATTACGAAGCAGCCCCTGGCGGATTCGATTTGCGTAATGTCTACTTAACTAAGCGGACTTTAGGTAGACATTAGGTAGACATGTAAAAAAACGTATAAAAAAGCTATTAATCGACTTATTATGATAAAAAAAAGTTGATAAAAGGGTAAATGAATGTTTATAGAGTAAATTCGTACAAAATTTGTAATTAATAAAGCAATAAATAATTAATAATGAATGGAAATGTGCGCGAGGTACCTGATCAGTTCAGCTGTACAATTATTTTCGTGCTATTTTCATGAAAAGAATATAAATTAACTGCAAAAACAATTGATATTTATAAAAAAGTGTAAAATTGATTTAATTTGAGTGTTTGCAATACGAATTATTAAATAATAAATAAGTTTTTATCAAATGTGACTAGTGTTGTGAAAACCTGTGAAAACTAATGAGTTACTACATTACCGATCGCATATGATAATAAAAAGTTCTCGATGAGTGTAACAAAAAAGCTGCAATCATGTCCGTAATTTTGGACGAGAAACAATTATGAAATCAACAATTATTTGTATAACTTTATTCTGCATTTTAAAATTCATTTTTTATTTTCTTTCAAAGCAAAAGCTTGGAAGAAAACATGCTCGCACTGTATTGAAAAACTGGTGGCGCCATCTCTCATATGCGATCGGTAATGTAGTAACTCATTAGTTTTCACAGGTTTTCACAACACTATTCACATTTGATAAAAACTTAATTATTATTTAATAATTCGTATTGCAAACAATAAAATTAAATCAATTTTACACTTTTTTATAAATATCAATTGTTTTTGCAGTTAATTTATATTCTTTTCATGAAAATAGCACGAAAATAATTGTACAGCTGAACTGATCAGGTACCTCGCGCACATTTCCATTCATTATTAATTATTTATTGCTTTATTAATTACAAATTTTGTACGAATTTACTCTATAAACATTCATTTACCCTTTTATCAACTTTTTTTTATCATAATAAGTCGATTAATAGCTTTTTTATACGTTTTTTTACATGTCTACCTAATGTCTACCTAAAGTCCGCTTAGTTAAGTAGACATTACGCAAATCGAATCCGCCAGGGAGCGTTTATTTTTGTCCTGTTAATTATACTAAACAGAGTAGTAAAGTTTACTATTTGCTACAAGTTTGCTACAAACTTGCTGCCCTAATTTTCTGGAAAATGTACTAACTGTGGTAGCATTCACTTATGTATTAAAAAAAATATATATATATGTATATTAAAGTTTCAAATTCATTTGGAAATCAGAAAATTTTTTCAAATTATAAAAACATAATATTTCAAGTTTTTGCAGCTTAAAAAGTAATATGAAGAATAAAATTTGAAATCTAAATTTCATACCTGATGTAATAATTTAAAAAAGAAATCAAATAACTTATAAGTATGACATTCAAAGTACTCTCGTTGAGTCAGTGATGAACTTTAAAGAACATCAAAGATTATTATTTTACATTAAAATTCATGTCAACACTTTAATTCTAATATATTACAAAATAATTTCGTAGACGTAGATAAATAATAGTAGTTTTAAAAGTATTAAGCAAATAGTTCAACAAATAATAGAATGCATAAAAGTATAATGATAATAGATATTTTTTTCTTCCATTATTGTAATTATGTAGATTAATTTTTTTCGATTATTGGAAGAGTGCATTCTTCCAATAATCGGAAAATTATTTTTCATGGAAAATGGAAAACTAATTCACTTTATCATGGTGCTTTAGAAACAATACCAGGTGTGACAAAAATAGGTGTAAATATTATATACATATATATAGGTTAGAAATTCTTTGGAATAAAAATCATAAAATTTTCTTTTCTCAAGACATTGTATAAAAAAAGTTAAATATTATCTTTCAAATCTTATGTAAATTGTAAAGATTAAAATTATTCTGATTTAAAAAAGTCACATTTTAATTAATTTATTTGTCATAAACATAACCTTAGGCTAGTTCAAAAGTCAGGAAACAAAAGGTTTTTATGTATTTAATAAAATAGTCTTAAGTTTTGAGATTATGTTCATGACTATAAATTAATTAACCACTAGTTGTTCTTCAAAATAGAATAATTTTTAATCTTTACAATTTACATGAAATTTAAAAGATAATATTTCACTTTTTATACGATATCATGAAATAAGGAGTTTTATAATTTTTATTCAAACGAATTTCTAACCTGTAAATAATACTGAAATATTTCTACACATTTTTGTCAAACCTGTTATTGCTAATGAGCACTGTGATATTTAACTAATTCATAAAAGTATATATAACATGTTTCATTATATTTTTAACCATTTTTTTGAATAAAGTAATGAAATTTAAAAAATACATTTTTTGTATATTTATATTTTATATATTTATATATTTTGATGTTAAGTTTTTAAAGAAAAGTAGAAAATTTAAAAAAGTTTTATTGAAAACGTACTATTTTTACAGTAATTGTATATGAGATTGTATTGTCATAAATTAATCTTTTAATTTGAATCCTGCAACTTTCAGGTACCTACATTTAATCCTCAAATTGTCTTTTAAATTTTAAGTTTTTTGCTTCCTCATAGAGGTAACAAAATTGTGTTGTTGAAATTTTACCATTGCAATTTTTTGACATATACTTTGATGTTTTCTTACCCCAGGAATCCAAAAACGATGTTTTTAAAAATTATCCGCATGTGTGTGTATTTACTATAACATAATATTAAACCCAATATCTCAAAAACATAAAGAGCAACAGATTTGCATTTTTTAAATTGTAGGTTTCATAGGGGAACATAAAATGAAGTTATAAATGTTTATAGGCTTTAAAATTTCTTAAATAACACTAAAAATTATCATTTGTATTTTTGCTCAAGTAAATACAAAATAAAAATACAAAGACTTATAAATTTGTAATATACAGTATTTATGCTATATTTCCCTTAATAAAATAATTTTTTTGAGATTATAAATGTTTTGTTTATATTATATTAATTTATTTATTGGACTATATCGACTGAATACTTTTAAAACTTTAATTTAAATATTATAATAATGTATTTTGCACTGCTTATTATGAGCATCAACCGTTACAGATTAAGTTTTCATACAAGTATCCTAATCATACACAAACTTAAGAACAATTTAATTATTATTTTACATAACAAACTTTTTAACATGTGTCGTTGCAATTCTACATAGAAAATTTAAGACCTAATATACTTTAATATCATAGAAATCAAAACTTGCATATACATTTAATACAAAATATGCATATTAGTTCTTATGTTCTATGTAGAATATGCAATCACTTTTTAAGTAATTGCAATAAAATTTCTGTTACTGCATAAGGGGCCATTAATAAATTACGTTGCACTATTTTTCACCATTTTCGACTCTCCCCCTGTTGCACATTTTGCATACACTAGCGCCATTTTTTCTATTGAATGTTGCAAATCCTTGACCCCCCCTCCCCTTCAAGCGCAACGTAATTTATGGATGGCCCCTAAGTAATAAAGTAATATTTAACAAAGCAGATGTAACATTCTAATGAATTATTTCGGCTAAATATATTTTGTTAGGTGTTAAAAATGTTTGAGTTCCTATATTTAAAAGTCAATAAATTATTAATTTGCTATGAATTTAACTTTAGAAATATTTTGAAAGTGGATCGAGCACATTACTAACAGTTCAATAAAATTTACATAATATACTGACTTTAATATATTTGAGATACTGATTTAAGAAAGTAATATATTTTTGATCAATATAGGTACAAAACATGAAAATCTAATTTGGAAAACAATATTATAGGCTCAGTCCAGATCTTGTATATACAAGATCGAGCTCGGCTTTTAAAAATAATTCAAATTACTTATAAAATTGTTATTAAAAATATGGAATTTTTTAATTTACAGTTTTACAAAAATATTTATTAAAAAGAGTGAACATTTTTGTATAATAAGGGTGTCGATTATATAATTTTATTTGACTTTGACATCAAAGTCAAATTTATTTTTCGATTTCACTTTGTGTAATTAAAAAAGTTAATATTTTTTATTATCTAAAAATATTTTTTACAGTTTAATGATGATTCAAGTAAAATACTTATCGATGAAAAATTATTGTGCTTTTTATTTTAAAAATAAATAATTTATTTATCATTCAATTTGTGTTTAGAATAAACTAAAATTTTTGACTAGTGAATTTATAATTTATTTATCTACTATAGACTCTGATTTATAATGTTGAAGTAGAAGTCGACCGAATAATCATTTTTAAAATTATTTGTGGTGATGAGTTCAACATACAGCAGATATCATAGACCAAGTGAATACTTTTTATTTTTCAAACAAAATTGATATAGTTGAAAATAGTGAAGGTAAAAAATTTAATCAAATTTACTTTTTCTTTTTAATTATTATTCACTCGATTTCTACTTCAGTGTTAATAATTAGTCCACTAGAAAATTAAATATAAAAGCCATTTGTCAATAAAAAATAAATTTAAAGTCAAAGTGAAATCAAAAATAGAAATTTGTCTTTGACGTTCAGACGAATTTAACTTTAACGTCAAAGTCAAATTACATAAGCGACACCCGATATAAGTTTAATTAATTTATTGCAAACGGCTGTTGAATTATTAATCCAAAAATGTTAATGTTAATACAAAAAAAACCTAACAAAAATTTCAAATTTCAAAAGACGGTTATAAGTGTTTTTTGATTTTATTGTGAACTACAGATTTTTATAAAATTTTTAACATTTTAGAAAATCAATGAAATTTTTTTTGACACAATTGAGCTGGACTGAGCCAATACATTTTTTGCAATAACTGAAAATACACTGATTGTTTAAAATTTTGAATTATTGATTTAAGACCGAAAAGGATTAGAAGAATTAATCCTAGAAAGTAAGATGGATAAGCTAATAATATTTTAGGTGATATAGTTTTACTATGGAATAAAGGGAAAAAGAGAAATTGTTGAAGTGTAAAAATGGTGTTATGGACTGAGCAAAATAGACTGAAAACAAGGTTGAGAATTTGCATGAAGAATATAATAAATAGGTAACTTATTTTACGTTACCCGTTTAGTTAATGTGTTAGTTTAAACGAAGTGTATTTTTGTAGAACAGAAGAGATTACGTGATGTGTTTGAAATTTTGGTATATATATGTTATTTCATTTTCATCGTCGTACTGCAAAATAAAATTTTAGTTTTTATTCAAAACTTTTTTTAACGACGACGTTTCGATTTCTACATTCGCCTCCATCATCAGGTCACTGTAATAAAACAAAAATAACACACATTCAAAAACTCACAAAATATCACTTAAAAAAATTAGTTTTTAATAATAAAAATAAATTAATGAATTTTTACCTAGTTAAATATTAATTATATGAATAATTCGTCAACAAAATTAACCAAATAAATAATTAAAATTAATTAAAAAAGATAAAATTTCTTTTTCGATTTTTGAAAGAAATCACATACATTGTTATTGTAAGTGATTAGTCAAATTGAAATGAGTCATTAATTTATTTAAATTAGTTAAAAAAAATTTTCCTTTGAGTATTTTTTTGAATGTGAATTATTTCTATTTTATTAAAGCGATTTGATGATGGTGGCGAACCTATTGCCATCGAAACATCATCGTTATAAAAGAAGTTTTTAAATTTTTTTATCACCCAATCTTCCGAAATCGAATAAATAATTCTATATAATATAATAATGGAAGAGAAAAACTTTTCTTCTAAAACTTTAGTTAACTCAACTTGGAATCTATAAATTTGAAGAAATGTAATATTGAGAATTAATTTCCGTCGAAAATAAAACAAACTAATCTTTGAAATAATCAATTGCTCGATACACTGGCTTAACTTAAGTAATTTCAAGTATAGCAGCCCGTAATTTTAATTAAATATATACGTAGATAGCGTTATGTAACTAGTCAACGTTCTACCGATCTTTTTATAATTCTTACAAAGTATATTTTTCACCTTTTTGGAATCGAAATTTGTCGATCGGGCATTATTATTTTATATGATCTACGTTTATACTTTATTTAATTATCATTTATAACATCATCAACAACGTTTTTATTAGTTTAACTTTAGTATTTATATAGAAGGTAATGTGATTGGCTTTCGCGTCAATGCCACTGGCCGTATAATGAAATTTTATTAAAACTGTTTAATATCGTTCTTGCGACTATCCGTAAACAAAACTGTCATTTTTCGCGTTTTATCGTAATTTAAATGTTCATTTAAAAATTCTAGAAACACATTTTGATTACTATTATGATAAGTAAGTGGAGAGGGAAGAGTATAAAATAAGTCGAGATGAAGTTACATGCATACAGAGAATATTATTATATGTAAATATATGTGTGTATGTATATATGTATGTGCACACAATAATTCATGCACACACACACACAAATAAATATATACACATATGTACATGATTAGACAGTTATGATAAGTTGTACTTGTAAAATTGAGCACAGTTGCATGAAACGTGAGGACAAAGTATCGTTCAAAGATTTGTTAACGGATAATCCAATTCGGACTTGCATGTTAAGATTTTTAGCCATTGTTATACGTTACAAATGGCCAAAAAGCATAAGAATATGCTGAAGATCGAATAGAAACTGCCGGTGTTTATTGAGAACTAGAATAGATAATAACTGAAACTTTCTTAAAAAGTAAATTTTTTACTAAATCTGTGGTAAGAGTATATTTCCATATTCTCTTAACCCTGAATTCGCTTAACCTATAAAAATTGCGCTATCGCACGCCACACAATCATACTATAAATCTTCATAATCGTATTTACTTACTAGTGATACAGATAATAAAATTCACTGGCATTTGAATCACCTTGGCAGTTCAATAATGTGTTTGAGAGTACAACGTGTGCGCTTTGCTTCTTAGCACGTAACTGTTAATGTGTTATTGTGGTCATTAAATACTGCCCACAAAAGAAATCAATTCTTTATGATCGTAATAAATTTAGATAGACTGTGATTTCAGTCTTGGGTCCATTTTAATTCCGTGTACTCTGTGTTTGTTCTACTCCAGTCAAATAGTTTTTATACATATAACAAACTGTCCAGTTAAAATTACTATTTCGGCCACATGAAAATCATGACTTTATAGAAATTAAGAAATAAAATTAATTTCTAACGAATTTTCAATGAGTTAAATTTCACTGTTATTTAAATTTACAGAAACAGTGTTAAAATAGAATTTTTTTTTTTTTTTAATTAAATAACATATAAGATGGCTGGAGTATGGCATGTATAAGTGTGTACGTACTTCGTACCTGCTAAAAACCACCGAATAATTTTCAAACCGTATTCACTACGATTAGCATAAAAAAGTTAAGGCAAAAATCCACATGAAAATTTTCTAAAATAAGTTCTTAATGATTCTTATATGATGATTAAATCTAAAGGTATTCTATATGATTTATTATAGAATCCACGCTTTTGCAAGAAGATTCTAATTAGCTCAGTTTTAAAATTTTGTTAATTCTTTTTGCCTACCTAAAGCTCCAGATTTATATAAAAGAAGTAATTTAATTTAGGTGGGAAATTTTAGAAATGGATTTTTAACTGGGACGAATGTTGTGTATTATTAGGTTGGAATGAAAAAGTTTTTAAGTATGAAGAAACTGCTACTTAAAACATTTAACATATGACATAAATATTCTCTGTTTTTTAATCATACCTTTTAATGTGCTTTCAAAAATTTATACTAATAATATGTAAAAATTTTTAGTTCGTACCATTCCTAGTTGAGCATCAATATATTTTTAATTTTTGTTATAATTTAATACGTTAAAATATTAAATACATATTCAAACAATAAGTTTCATTTAAAATAGTTTTCCTGCCGAAGGTAAGATAACTATAGCATTCATCAACATTAAAATTAATAAGGAAAATACTATTAAAATCCGAAGACAGCGGCGGTAAGAATATATTTATTTATGTTCAGAACTTTTTCGTTCCACACTAGTAAGTAAATAAAATGTATGGATGTTTTTATGTATATATGTATGTAATAGTATGTATATTTGCGTTAAGTTATAAAATTAAAGAAAAGCTTTAAAAATATTTTCAACCTGTCTCTGTGTATTATTACCCAAAAACCGGAAATTGTTAAAACGCTCACTAAATACTCAAAAGATTCCTGTTGATGCTCATGGAATATTTAGTAAACATTTCATGCGAATTTTTTTTATGGGGTATGTTCATCTGAAAGTGTTTTTTCTAAGGCGTATTTTATAACTCAACAACGATAAACGTGTCGAGATCAGATAAAAGACAGATTTTTTCGTATTGATTTTCTATTGTAAAGCAGTCTCACTTCAGATAACACTCGTTTCAGACCAAAAATCACACGTCACGAGCATAACAAACGAAAGCGATCGCAATGGGACTATTACCCGTAACAAGAACAAGTTTATCATCAACTGAGCATCGGCTTCTTTTTTCACTTTCGGCATCAATCTTGAAATTTTCGAATCACGTGACGATAATATGTGGAGCAGAAAACAGGACGGTGATGGTAGCAATGATAGTGAATAGAGTAAATATAATTAGGCACATCCTGTCAATCACCATCGCAGCAAACTTCCAGTCGTTCGTTACCTTGGTATTTACTTCTTCGTCTTTTAGTTGATCAGTAATAATCTGAAAATATCGATTATTTTGTTAAACAAACTATTTATCTGAATTTATTTTATATTAATGAAATATGCCCAGGCAATTTTTATGTAGAACAAAAAAACGGTGAAAATCGGTTCATATATTGTGTAGCGAAGATTGATGAATTATGAGACACTTTTTCAAACCCATGTAATTTCCACAAAAATTAAGTTTCTATAGCAAATTTCAAAATGGTATGTGTTACTAGGAGGAATAATCTACATTATGCTTAATCAGTTTCGTAAAATAATTTTCTTTTGAAAAAATGTCGAGGGTTAGCAAAAAACGTCCTTTTTCTTTTTTCAAACAACTGAAACTAATATGAACTGAAAATAATATAAAAATGAAATGAAATTATAAAATTAAGAAATCAAGAAGAACGATTGAATTGATTGGAATGCCCAAAGTGATAATGTGTACTGATTTTTGCACCATTACGTGCGCATTTCAAGTCGGGTTACCTTCTTCGTTTTTTGTAATGTATAGGGCATACAGGTTAGAAAAAGAGTATTAAAGTAGAGTAATTGTTTAAAAAATACAACAAAAGTAGTAAACATTTTAAATTAAAATTTAAAGGTATTTTTTTATCAAATAACATTTATTTTACTTAGGGTCAGTTGAGGTGAATGTGGACAAAATCGCTATTTTTCACAAATTACGTAATTTTCATCCTTTAAAAAGTAATATTTGCGGGTTTATTTTTTTTAATATGTTATTTACGTTCCCAGGATTAATTTTATACACCAGAAAAAAATTTAGATAAGCTTTAAACGCATGAAACTGACTGTCCCCATTTACTCCAAAATTTAGAAAATTTCATAAAATTTGGGGTAAATGGGGATAGCATACACGAAGAAAACCTAAAAGCACTAAGTATTTTTTTTCACAGCACTGGCTACTGTTATTATTATTATATTATTACTGCAATTTTTCTTGTCAAACATTGATTTTAATTGGCATGTTTATAAACAGTTAATGAATAACAGAAATAAAGACTTTAAAAAGTCTTTTTAAAAACTATCGGTTTAAAATTTTTTTTTAGTTATATAGCAAATAAAGTTATTATATTATAATGAAATAAAAAATAATTATTTTTAAAATAAATTATTACAGGTAAATTTTAAATATTTATTTGTATTTCACAAGTTTTGAAATTTTAAGATTTCTTAGCTAATATCAAATTACAACTTAATCTAAATTTATAGATAATTATGATTTAAAAATAATAAGTTTCAACATTATTATATTAAATATTTATCTCGTGAAGTAAAAAAAATTATTATTTCTTACGTTTATTAATAAAAAGTAATTTATTTAATATTATTAAAGTTTATTGCTTCTTATTTAATTAAATATAAATAATTTAAGTCAAATAATCTATTTTTTATAAAAATATTAGAAAACATCTAAAATTGATTAAAATTATTTTGAACGCTTGTTTAAAATTGTTGTCTATTTTTATTAAAGGTTGAATGTTCTTTTATTTCTTTAATCCTAAAAAATAATTCTACACAGTACTCAGAGCTGTGAGAACAGCAGTCACGACTTCGAGCAAAGAATTTATTGCTACATTCGTATCTCTGAATAATCTGTTGTCAACTAATATGAAACAAAACTCTGATTACTATAAAAAAAAAGTTGTGATTATTTTCTGCAGAGCATTCAGTGCTGTATAGAGAACTTTCAGAACCCTGGAATTTAATTTTTTGGTTTACAAAGTAACCAGTGCTGTGAGAAAAATACTCAGTGCTTTCAGATTTTCTCCATGTAATTTCTAAGAAAGTTTTAAGAAAAAAATTTCCTTAAGGTATCACATCGGCACTAATCGGAGTCAAAAGTTTGTAGCTCGCATTACTACTTCCCGCACTATACTTTCGCCCTCAACTCCCTATACTCTCAGCCCATACTGTACCTACTTCTACAAATACACTCGTACACGTATACCCCACACTAGCAGCGATTGGAAGGAGTAGGAGGTTTGACAACGTCGCTATAAGTCTCGCTTTGACTACTGTGGACTACTGTCTCTCTCTAACTAATGTTACCATCCTGCGATGTTGCCACATCAAAGTGGCGGGTGTGCTATATATTGCAAATGACGTCATGAAATAGAATTTTTAATTTATAATTACAAATAAACGGCACGGTAAATTATAAATTTCTTTGTATATTTTAGTTCCAAATTTATTCGTGAATTCAACATTAGTTTTTGAAAAAAATTTATAGAAAACTTCTGATGATATTTATGAAAATGTACTTCTCCCCCATACATTAGTCTTGTCTCCCATGCAAAATAAGCAACTTTGATTGCTAATATCTCTGGTTCCGTACGGCGAAAATTCTTCATATTTTGCAAATTTGTCAAGAATGATAATAAGAACATATGGGAAAATTTTCAAGAAAATTTATAGAAAACGGTTTTACCGATGTGATACCTTAAGTATATTACTGTATTAAGGGATGACAAAACTTGAAAAAAATTTGTAGTAGATATATAATAGTTGAACCAATTAAAATTTTTTTATTTTTTTTTATTTCACTTTTTTCTCTCGCTTTTGAAAAAAAAGACTTAAAAATCATACCAATTTTTTTTCTTATTCCTTATGAGTCCCATAACAGAAATTCACTTGAATTTTTGATTTTTGTTAATTTGGTTAATAATGACAAGCTGTCCCCATTTACCCCAAATATTTTTAAATCTGTTTTTTTAAATGCTCGACAAAATACTGAAACAGTTTGACGTTGATTTTCAAGTTTTTATGCATTGAGCGATAACTGTTTTTATCTTGCTGCCAATTGTGAAGATAATAGTTTGGCAATACTCAAAACCTCTTGCAGGTGATCTGAGGTTAAAATATTGACGTTGAACTTAATTTTAAAACTGTAAATTAAGCTCCAAAACTTCTTGTCCCCATTTACCCCAACTGACCCTATACACTTATTTAGAACATATTTAACATCAATTCTTAAAAATTTTCGACTTTACATGAACAATTTTTTAAGTTAAAACTAAATTAATGATTCATAAATTGTATTTATCAATTTTTCCGATATTACTCAAAATTGCTTCATTTCTCAAAATGTGCTCATAAAATGCCAATAGGGCAGGAGTATAAACGGAAAAAAATACGATTTTAATAGACTGAACATTTAAACTTAAAGACATCATTTGCAACTGGAAATAGAGACAGCCATCTAGATGCTGAATGTTTCAATAAAGATCATGACTATTTATGACTATTATGACTATTGCTATGTGAAGAGAAGGACCTAAAAAGTTTCTAAAATACGTTGTTACGATCTTTATAAACATTATTGTTTAAAAAATAATTGTTTAATATTTTTTCGCCGATAAAATGACCGAATCCGTTTAAATCTTCTTACTCGAGGGTTTTTGGGATCGCTGAACACGAATCCGGTGTTAGTTTTCAAAATTCAAAATGGCGCATCCAATATGGCGGACGACAATTTCAAAAATCAATCCAATTTACTTGAAAATAGTTACTCGGGGGTTTTTGGGGTCGCTGATTACGAATCTGGAATCAGTTTTAAAAAATTCAAAATGACGGATCCAAAATAGTGGACGATTATCTTTTAAATGTATTTAATTGGCTTCAGAATCGTTAATTAGGAGTTTTCAAGGTCGGTGAACACGAATCTGAAGGTAACCCGAGTAACCAGTTTCAAGTAAATTATATGGATTTTTAAAATTCTCGACCTCCATATTGGATCCGCCATTTTGAATTTTGAAAAACGGAACAAAACTGATATAATTCTAGGAAAAAATATTTTACAAATATTCTATTTTACGCTTTATAAATCAATTATAAATAATGAAAAATAATTTCGTAATAATAAGAAAATAATTTAGTTGAGCATTTTTAGTTGGCGTTACTAAAATACGGTTGTCACAACAGAATAGAAAGTGGCAATAAATCGGGAAGTTTAGTTGGCTCCATTTCTTGTAAATATGGCGTCGCTTCCCATTCACGGGATGTCAACATTAACCATACGTTGTTCGCGTCGTGAAGTTTCAGTGTTAAAGTTTTTCACAGAAAAAACAAAGTGTTATTTTAACCCAGAATGTGGTGTTAAAATAACCTGCAACAAATTCTAACCCTAGTTAAGGTTAAATCTTATGGGTTTTTAGCATTAGACAAAATTAACCGCAACAAAAATGACACCCACTTTTTTCTGTGTATGTTTTTCAGACATTAAAAAAAAAGTTTGTGTAGTGAGAATAAATAAATAAAATTTGTTAAAACAACGACAGTTTTTTCCAGCCTTTATACATTGTGAAAATAATTTAATATCAAATTGTTAGTAGGATTGGTTGAGTAGTGGTTAGCGTTCTCGACTTGCGTTGCGTACACGGAGAGAAATTTCTCCCTAATTTCGTATGAAAACTACTTACTCATTTAGTAAAACAACTATTGAGACTTTAATAGCATAACATTTATACCAATACCACTCTTGGACATACTAAAATAGTTTGGGTTGTTCCCAAGAGATAAAGTTTCGTTGATTTTTCTATATTCGTATAAATGTCATGTGAATATAGTTCTTCATCCTGCCATGCGAATTTCGTTCAAGGCACATACTAATATAGCGTCAAAAGTCGAGCGATTAGCTGCTTTTCAATGTGTTTAGTCATAACAATTGTTGAATTGTCCCAAGTAGCTTATCGAATAATCAATGCCAGGACGAGTCGTGACTGAAAGGTAGGTAAGTGCCTCCACAAGTTTCCGGTAAGGTAAATTTAGATATCCTTTAGTAAATTGTGCGTATTTCATGAGTTTTACACCTGCCTTGATGGAGGTACTAATTCGACTCACTCATTCCGAACTTTTGGGGTAGTTCCTGTATGTATCCTTGAGGGCTCGTCTTGATATTACGTTGTTGCCTTGTGTAAATTTACATCCCAAGAAGTAAGTTTCGGGCCCAAGATATTTCAACTCGAATTCACTAGAAAATTTTCTTTTAAAGGTTTCGATTTTCTTTTCGTCCTTAGCTAACATGAGGAAATCGTCTATGTAGACAACGATGATGGTTATGTCTTCAACTGCTTCGATATGAAACAGACATGGATCCGATTTTGATGAAACAGCACCTTTATTAGGTTTCCAATATCCAACTGCATATCCAACGTTTGGGAGTTACATCATTTTTGCAGTAAAATTTACATGTGATCGTTTTGAAACATTGTTCGTCAATGGCATCCTCAAACACTGGAAGAGACAGTTTCTTTTTTTGTGGTAAAGCAGCTGATCGGAATAAATTACTCGCTGATACGTTAGTAGCTTGATTTTGTCTTCGTTGATCAGGCTTCTTCTTTGGACATTCCCTTGACTGGTGTCCGACCTCGTAAAATCTAAAACACACCCCTGATAGTATTTTTGGAAGATTGCAGAATTGCGCTTATCGTCGTGCTCAAGGCCGACTGGGATGCCTGGGTCCTTAAGGACTATAACTCCCGATCTTAAAATAAGCATATCTACCCCCTAACGAAAGAACTACCGACATGTTGAAACGGCGGCGATTTGTCAAGCCGCCTCGCTACCGATGCACCATGGGGAAAGAGGAGGGAAAAATTGCCGTTGTATGGTCCTTAAGAACCAAAACGGCGAAGAAGACCGGGTGCCCTTCCAGGAGGATACGGTTAGCATTGATTCCCTTTGCCCGTGCAAGTAGATCTTGAGCGGAAGAAGGGAATCAAAGTACCCAGCGGGGACCTTGTGGAGATTCCGTCTCCGAGCTAAGCTCCACCCACCGATGGTCTGGTAGGTCACACACACTCATACAATAGGGTGCCTAATGAAATGGCGGAACGATTAGTAACATTCATCTTGGACCCGATAACGCCCGAACAGGAGTGGGCGTGAGTTAGCGAGGACAAGAATCCTGCACTTCCAACGGGGACCACGTGGAACATCCGCTCCCAAACCGAAGTGTCAGACCGCAGTCTGAAACCACAACGGTCTCACCCTGCCTCCGGGCAAGGAGGCGTACTGCGTTTAAATTTCCCTCTTTAGTCGCCTCGTACGACACGCGATGGGATACGGGAAGACAAGTTCTCCAGCCGGACTTCCACGGCCACCTTGCTCGGGGAGGGTCCTATTTCACATGGTGAACACCTGGCAGGCGTAGTGCGTTCACACATCAAATGTCCCACCTCAGCGTCTCCGTCGAAGCGGTACTTAGCTAGATGGGTACAATCCTCCGCACCCCTTTTAGTCGCCTTTTACGACATGCAGTGGGCTACAGGCGCCCTATTCTGAAACCGGGAGCGCCACGGCGGTTCGGAAGATTGCAATTAACTGACAGATGACTATATTTACTGCAATTGTTACGCGTAAAGAGGAGGTAGTTCGTTCATGACTAATGCGTTTTTCTCCCGCGGTACTCTCAGAAGTGTCCATAGTTATTGTTGTTGCGGCTGCAGGATTTTTAACACTAGTCGTATGAAACTCTTTTTATTGTCTTCCAAGGAAACCTTCTCAACAGCTCAGAAAAGTTCCTTCTTATTCCTGAATTGTTGAATATTCTCTTGATTCCTTAAGGATCTGTCCGGAACCTACTTTGCTAATGATCAAACAGAAACTCAAGTTCGGACATCAATAAGTCATCCACTGGCCGTTTTGAAAACTGTCTTCATATGTTGATTTCGTAAACCTCTATTACTACTGTTGATCAATTTAATGATAATTAAAAACACAGACTTTCAAGAGAAAGTACAATGAGTTCAGTGGCCACACAATATTAAATTTAAAAGACTGGATTTTATGATATTATAGAAAATATTTTATTATATTACTTCATTTACCTAGCTCTGACCTTTATGAGGGAAAGATATATTGTGTTTTTCAGACACAGGTACCTGTTTTCATCTCTCTGGTAAGAAGAAGAACTACAGACAAGTGATTTACCAGAGAAGTAAGCGGAGGAGTTTTTTTCAAGAAAAACGAGGAGCGAAAAGAAAAAACTAGGTTTTTGGACGAGAGTTCAGTTATAAATTTGGAATGGAGCACAACATTGTGTAATGCGTAAAATAAAATTTAAAATTGGTTTAATGTAATAATTCTTTTTTCTATAAATATAACAAATTCTTTTTAGTTATACGATACTGATACTTGTTATCGTAGAAATTCTAGCTATAGTCACACTATATTGTGAGACTGATACCATAACGCTATTATATCTTACGTTACAGATATGACTGAAAATAAAAATTAGTTACTTAAATTAAATGATTATGTAACTAAGATAACAGTCTCTTACCTTGATCTCTTTCAATATTAAAACGAGTTCATAGCGAGCACAAAAGCACGCGCTCTGAAGAATGGTTTCTACTTGTGGTGCTCCTCCATCCTGAGGATGCGGATGATGATGTGGAGTGTGACCAAGTTGATGTGTTGGATAGGAAGAATGTGGCAACGGCGTTGAATGCTGATGATGTGGCGTTGCTGTCGTATGTGTATGGTGATGACGAGGAGTCGTATGTATATGACTATGACCGTGACCAATTGTGTGATGGTGAGGACCAGGTGTACTGTACACGTTATTTAATAAGTTGTTATGCGATGCCAAGGCATTGTCTTCTAGATCCAGTACATTAGCCAGTAGTGATTTACTACTTCTTTGGTGAAGTTCCAGATCACCATATGCTTTACTAGGACCTAAATAATTTCATAGTTATTAACCTTAACATTGTTCTAATATAACGAATATTTACTGTACACTTTATTCATAGAAAAAATTGTAAATATTAGTAAATAAAGTATACTTTATAAAGCTTTTATTTGGTTTAAAGGAGTCTTGTAATTTTTTAAATAATAAATAAAAGATTTAAAAAATTTTTTTTGACTGACTTATTTTACGATCAGCGGGAGCAAAAACTTTCCTGAACGCTTACACTATCTTAGACAGGAATTACTTACTTTGTGCCCTCATTAATTGTCTGAAATGACATACTTTTCATGCAACAAGGACAAAACAGTTATTTAAAATTCACCTCGTAATAATATTAATTGAATTTATTCATCCATCCTACTTTAAAAAAATGTAAATAACTTTTTTATAATTATTTTAATCAGTACCTCCTAATTAGTAATTAAACTTTTACAAAGTTGTTAGTAACTAATAAAACAAGTTTAGAAAATAAATTGACACTAAAAAATTATTTGTACAGTGAATGAGGTCCTTGGTTACGAATTAGTTGATAGAAATAGCGTACGAAGTAGGTAAAACAATTCATACGGACAGAAAATTAACTACTGCCGCAATTTTACACAAACAGATTTAAGAACATTATTAAAGGTTAAAGGCCCCGTCCGTCCCATGACAGCGTGAAACGCCGGCGAACAAGCGGCAAGCATGAGAACGAAAGAGATAGTGAGATATTTTCATCTCTTTCGTTCTCATGCTTTCCGCTTTTACGCCGGCGTTTTACGCTGTCATGGGACGGCGCCTTTATTTTATGTTTTTAGAATCTCAAATTAGCTGCGAACAGACAACTTTAAGAGTCATTAAAATGATGATTTAAAATTATTGTTACATCATATAAAATAGTCAAATGCATCCATATAACAATCGTGCGTGACACGAAGTGATGGTCATAATGCATGCATTTCGTTTGCACTTTGCAGTCACGTGTGAAATCTATTTCAATGCAAGCACAATTCATGCTATTTCGCTGGCATTGCATGCGTGTGATCACGCACGAGCATGAAGGCATCATGCGCTTTCATTTCATTTACAAGTATTGAGTTTAGGAACCAAGATACAAAAAAGTCCCAGTTTTTCATCGACTTTCAAAATATGTAAACGAAAAAAATTTTTGAATTTGTTTATAGAAAATAACGATTTTTTTAAAATTCATAACTCGAAAATTTGAGCACTTATGAAAAAATACGTAAACATTTTTTTCTATAAAGATCGAAAAAAAATATATTAACCTAATTTAAAATAACATAGGTAAATTTCACGTGGAATCGCCCATATATAAATTGTTCAAATTGAATTTATATAATATATATAGTTTAAATTTTATTAAATAATTTAATTTAATTGATAATTTATTTAATAATTTAAATTTTATTGCATCATCTTTTGTTTCTTGTATTAAATTAAGTCACTTAGTTTCTCAATTTTATCATGAAAATTAAATAGGTATTCTTTCAAATTTAGGTTATTAACCCTTTAAGGACGGGAAGGACACTTTTTTAGAGCAATTTTCAATGACATATTTCTCTGCGACTAAGAGTTTTAAAAATATGAGAGGAAGTGTGTCTTATGTATTCGATATCGCTCTCTAAGAATCCATATTCAAAATTTTGAAAAAATCAAAATTCAAAAAGTTCCGGCCATGTTTTAAAAAAAACGGTTTTTTGAAAATTTTTTATTGTAAATTATTATTTTTCGAAGCTATTCGCTTTAGGAGATGCATAAAATCCTAAACTATCGTGTCCTAAATGTTCAGACATGAAAATGGTGCAAAAGGTTTTTTTTTAATTCCAGATGGCGTACCAAAAATGGCGTCCAAATTCAAATTTTTTACAAAATCATAACCTAGTGGACGAAATTTTAAAAAATGCTCAAATGTGATTGAAATTTTTCACTGGGGGGGTTTTTGGGGTCGCTGATTACGAATCCGATGTTAGTTTTTTAAAATTCAAAATGGCGGATCCAATATGGCGGACGACTTTTTAAAAAATTGATCAAATTTGCCTGAAATTTGTTACTCTGGGGTTTTTGGGGTCGCTGATTACGAATCTGAAGTCCGTTTTTGAAAATACAAAATGGCGGATCCAATATGGCGGACGACTTTTTAAAAAAGGCTCAAATTTGCTTGAAATTATTTACTCGGGGGTTTTTGGGGTCGCTGGTTACAAATCCGATGTTAGTTTTTTAAAATTCAAAATGGCGGATCCAATATGGCGGACGAATTTTGGAAAATCTAATGCAATTCGCTTGAAACTCGTTACTCGGGGGTTTTTGGAGTCGCTGATTACGAATCCGGTGTTAGTTTTCAAAAATTCAAAATGGTGGATTCAATATGGCGGACGACGTTCTGAAAATCTAATGCAATTCGCTTGAAACTTGTTACTCAGGGGTTTTTGGGGTCGCTGATTACGAATCTGAAGGCAGATTTTTAAAATTTTCTTAATTCAAAATGGCGGATTCAACATGGCGGATAAAATTTAAAATTTGACCCAATTCGTTTCAAACTCGCTTGTCGAGGGTTTTTGGGGTTATTAATTACGAATCTGAAGTCAGATTTTTAAATAATCTAAAAATTCAAAGATGGATCCAATATGGTGGAAGAATTTTTTAAAATCGTTCTGATACGTCTGAAATTTGTTAGTCTTCCACACCACCACCACCACCATAAATTATTCATCAAAAAGTTAATAATAATAATAAATCACAACTATCTTTTCAAGCGAAAATTAATGGTTTTTAAAAAAACTTATCCGCCTTGTTGGATCCGCCATTTTGAATTTTTGAAAGTTAACATCGGATACGTAATCAGCGACCCCAAAAACCCCTGAGTAACAAGTTTCAAGCAAATTGTATTAGATTTTCAGAACGTCGTCCGACATATTGAATCCACCATTTTGAATTTTTGAAAACTAACACCGGATTCGTAATCAGTGACCCCAAAAACCCCCGAGTAAATAATTTCAAGCAAATTTGAGCCTTTTTTAAAAAGTCGTCCGCCATATTGGATCCGCCATTTTGTATTTTCAAAAACGGACTTCAGATTCGTAATCAGCGACCCCAAAAACCCCCGAGTAACAAATTTCAGGCAAATTGGGTTATGATTTTGTAAAAAATTTTGAATTTGGACGCCATTTTTGGTACGCCATCTTGAATTTAAAAAAAACCTTTTGCACCATTTTCATGTCTGAACATTTAGGACACGATATTTTAGGGTTTTATGCATCTCCTAAAGGGAATAGCTTCGAAAAATAATAATGTACAATAAAAAATTTTCAAAAAACCCTTTTTTTCAAAAACATGGCCGGAACTTTTTGAATTTTGATTTTTTCAAAATTTTGAATATGGATTCTGAGAGAGCGATATCGAATACATAAGACACACCTCTTCTCAAATTTTTAAAACTCTTAGTCGCAGAGAAATATGTCATTGAAAATTCCTGTAAAAAAGTGTCCTTCCCGTCCTTAAAAGGTTAATTGAATTTTAACATTTAATATATAATTATTTGGACAGCTCCAAAAAATTCTAAAGGCATTTCTTATAATGTGTTAGTTATTTTCTGTATTTCATAATGTGTTCTCTTTTTTAAGAATTGTATTAAGGAATTATTAATACAACGTTACGAAATTCATACGTAACAATAATGTTAAACACTATTACGAAAGAGAATTTAACGATTGGCATTAACATTTTTTTTTTTAATTTCTCACAATTTCATAAAGAAATTCTGTTTTGAAATATTAAACTCTTAACATCTCAAAACACCCCCACTTAAATTTTCTTGTAACTTGCGTGAAAATAAATTTATTATGGTCATCTTTGAAGATTTTTGGATAACCTAAATTCAAATTGTGTGTTTTTGAAAAATTTGACACGAAGTATGAAGTTTAATCCTAACCCATCCAGTTTACGTCACAGACTAATTTCATTGTTTTTATTATGAAAGAAACCACAACTTATACAGGAAAAAAAATTTTCTAAAAAGAGATTAATATAATCACGTTTATTTTAATAATGTGCTACAAAGTTATTTTTATAAATTATTAATTTTCAAATTTATGTTATTCATAATTAAACATGATTATTATTGAGAGAAACCTTTGAGTTATTATTACTTTTTCAAAACAATTAAATTTGTCTCTGAAGAAGGCTGTATTCGACTTTATGCTTCGTGTCAAATTTTTCAAAGACACACATTTTGAATTTATGTTTTTCAAAAATCCTCAAAGATGTCCATAGAATGCCTCATATATATACATAAATAAAAAATATTTCCCATTTATACCTTGCTCCCGCATTTATTTCTTTACTTTCTGTAAGACAGCATAGTTTTCCAAACTGTTTATTGAGGATCACTACTTATCTTCGAAAATCGAAATAAGGCACGTTTGGCCAATTTTTTATTACTACTCTACAATAAATAAGTTGTTACATTCGTCGTTTGTGTGAGTGATTGAAAGACATTATACAGTGACTCAAATTGACTTTCTATAAATCAAAATATAGAAAAATTTAATCACTATCCTGTTAATTCAATTTGAATCGTGACTTCGTGGTGCCATACTTCAGCCCAGCAGATTGAAGCAGAATTAACAGATAGCAGTAACCAGAAGCTGACATTAATCATCTTTGATCTTTTATTACTTTATGACATTGTCACATCTGCAGGACAGACGTTTTTCTCGCACATTTGTATTAGTCACACAGACATAAAATTAATAAAATTTACTTATAATTTGCAAATACGATTTTATAAAATTAATATTAATAAAATTTTTACAGGATTAATAAAAATGGAAAAGAAGGTTAGATTTAACTTCTGATACACATGTCATTTTCCCGCTGCTTCGTGAAACATCCATAATACTTAGTTGAGTTTTCTTTTAATTTATATAAAATTCAGCTACTTTTTCAGAACTCTCTCAAAACCATCTAAATGTTTTGTTTAAGAAGTTAA